GAAAACAATAAAACAGGGAACTTTTGCCACCTTAAATCTTTATTCCAACTCTGCAAAAATTTTTGGAAGCCCCAGTGTTCTCTTTTTTGCCAGCTCGCATATACACCTGTGCCTGTCATCAGTCTCGCATCAACAGCCCCCTGACGAACGCAGATCTCCTCCAGTTTCAAAAGGGTCCCTGCCTGCTCAGCTTAGTAATTAGCCTTCATTGCCACAAGCAACCAGTTATTTATAAGCCTGTGTTATTTTACAGAGCAAACACGAGCCGAGTTTATTTTCTGTGCTGCTATAAAGCTGCTTCCATGATGAGGTCTTACAATTTTTAAGTTCTCAGTATTAAAAAACACACAGTATCATTCGATTCTTCCCTCTGCAAAATCACTTTCATGCTAAACTTCAGTATCATGTGCTCATAAAACCCAGCAAAGTCACTTGGAACACTGCAAACAGAAAGCATACTAAAGATTTTATTTTTCCCCCCATTTGCTGGCAGCCAGTTTAGAAATAGCTGAAGTCTACATATTTTATGAAGCCGCTGCGTGTTGAATGGGATATTCAAGAATTTAATCTGACAACTGCATTAGACAGACTTGATAAATATTGATCTGCTTGCACATTCCGAGGGAACAACTGCAGTTTTTATTGTACTCTTGCAATTTATGCTTCCACCCCTAGGGAGTGTTCCCCCCCTTCTAAAAAAACCCCCTCATAATATCATAGGGAATGCAGCAGACTCTTTATGAACTCACCTACCATCCCAATCCACTGGAGTTGTGACTTTTGTTTCAACTGCCTGCAGCAGAATTTCCTAAGTAATTTCTAGACATCCAAGGGACATAGATAAGGGTGGTAAGACAAAGGACTGAGAGAGAATGCCTCCTCTAGGAAGACCTTTTGATTTAGACAGCGGACAGTCAGGATTAGAGGAACAGGCTCTACTGGAGTCGCTATGAAGCTAAACCAGTATTTAACTGATTCTGGTGTTTTGTTTATTTATTTGTTTAAAGGCATCGCCCACTTTTCAACCCAGCAGAGGCCTCCCAGCAGCTTGGGGACCAAAAACAAACACTGCAGAACAACCTTAGGAAACCAACAAGCTGCTGGACCACCTATTTTGAGCTGCTGGACCACCTATTTTGAGCTTGGCAGGGCCCACACATAGTGCCTGTTTTTATGGAAAGAGCTAAATTAGGCCAAACAAGACCTCTTACAAACAGGAGAGTTACTGTCAAGGCATTTGACAAAACGGAGACTTGGGAGTGCAATTGAAGAGGCAGAGAGACTGACTGACTTCCTTTTGGCTTGAAGCGAGGGTTTCTTCTGTGGTGGTGCCATAGTTATGCAATGTCCAATCAAGCTTTAACCCAGGGGCCACAATCTCCTGATCTGCGGTGGCCCAAGAGACAAACACCAAACATCAAAAGGTGCTTC